AAAAGAAAGGGTACGTTGGAGACTAAAGCTGTACAGCAAGCACAGAGCGCCTGAACATTAATTTACAATCACAAGGACAAGGGAAAATGTGAAAGGCCCTTGTCATTACTTCTCCTAGCTAAACGCGAGTCTCAATTTGAGAAACTTGAGATGAACAAAGGTCAGTGCTAAATGAAATTCTCACTGTTAGCACAACTTCATTGTCAAAGCCTGCAGGAACATAATGAACGCTCCGTGCACCCGCTGATGGTGTGCATGAAGGCCGTGTGTGGAAGGGGCATGGGCATGTCCTGAGGATGTCACACCCACAGCTAAGCAGAGGGCAGAATGCCACAAATGTCCACTTGTTCCCAAAGCCATGTTCTGTCTTCATATTTATAGGTCAACAAGCTCTTTTCCCTTATTTATTTAAAATACTTCACTTTCCATTTTCCTAAATTACTGGCATTGTTTTGTATATAGTAAATTTGAGATCACGCAATGCACTGCTTTCATTACGGAGAAACCGAACTATGAAAAGGTGCCAGTGGCACAAGTACGGAGAGTGCTCATCACATTACATTTGTAATTATGTTCTAGGATTTCTGCTTAAACAGGAGCTGGTTGAAAAGACAATGACATTAGTTTAATAGGTTCTGCAGAGGAGCACAGAGGCACTGTCAGCATGCTCTGAGGGCATTAGTACAGGAAAAGGGACATTTCAGAACTTAGGGAGTTTCATGTCACACTGTAGCCTTGAAGACAATGTGCAGAATTAAACTGTTGTATCACACATCTCTGACATTTCCTCATGTTAGGAAGGCGGGATGCCACTGCCTGCTTGCCTGGGAAGCAGAGTTGCTCGGGAAGTCCCTTGAGGAGAATTCCCAAGGGGTTCCACACCTTGATGTTCATGGGCTGCTGTGCCTCGTTCCCTCCACCACCGCAGCCACACACAAATCATGGATGTGGCACCGAAAGTCTGTGTTGTGGCCCCGTGCCCAACACCGGCCTGCTTGGTGCTCCTAACAAACAGGGCTGTCCCTGCAGTAACCTCTGGGCCCCGACTCTCCGCTTCCCAGACATGGGTGCTCACACCTTGCTTCATCTCTAGATAGGACACACATCTGGAAAGAACATGTTTAAGGCTAATAGCACTTGGGAAGGCCACACTTGTGCAGAGGGCTGTGGAGCCAGACCAGAGGTGCAGATGGATTTCCTGGGATTGGTGAGGAATCTGTGTTCACTCTTTTTTTCCCCAAGGCCTCTCAGAACGGAGAGCACAAATATTTGCATTGCTTACCCAGAGTATTTTAGGAAACACATAAGGACACTCAAACACTACCCACATGGGAAATTCTCATTTAACCACAATTAGTGAGGAGTAAGACCGATCAAGCTATATAGGAAATCTTCACTTAGGACATATGTAGACAAGCAGGGGCAAAATGGCATTCTTCTTAAAATTTGTTTTGCCACAAAGCAAAACTGTTGTGTGAGAAATGATAGCCCTGTACCAAGGGCGGATATAGAATCGGCCACCACCTCCATCACATGTTTGAGAATAGAGGGAAACACTATGAATACTTTCATTAGACTAAAGATATTCAAAGGGACTACTGCTTGCAACGTGGGACTCACAACTACCTTAGCTGTTACCCAGATCTGAGGCTCAGAACTGATGGATTTATGTGTGGGTGGGGAAAAGGAAGATCAACTAGTTGATTGGGTTAAGAATCACCGAGGATCAAAGGTGCAAATCCATGACCTACAGGCTCAGAGCTGAGGTTAGCTTGGCATACTGAATCCATCTTAAAATTGCAAAGAATAGCAAAAAAACTTCAGAAACATTTCTAATATGACCATCATTATTAATTACCCATATGCACATATTCTACTTTATAACTTAAAATCCAACAGTAAAAATGCTTTGTCCTTCTTGTCTAAGGAAAGCATATCACTTAGTCATGCATTCAGACTTACTAAGAGGAATTTCACAAATCATCAGAAGGTAGTACTGTTGCTGTCAGTTGCTTCACAGAGGGGAATAAAAACCCCCTTTCACACTCTGTGAGTTTAAGACCCTGATTTCTAATTCCTGTGACAATGAGATCACAAATTTTCCTCAAGAAGATGAAGCTATAAAAACTCTCCAGGAGAATAAGGCAATGGGATAGCACCCAGGTCTCAGCCCACACTGGTGAATGTAGTTTAAGATAGCTGAGTTCTAAGAAGCAGATAAGCTCAATTTTTTGCCCTGCTCCATCAAGAAGTCAAGGTGTAGATACCATACAAAAACGCTGCTGAGAATTTGATGGATTAAATGTGGGGTACATGGGCTCCAAAATAAGGCAGAATCAAAGTTTAATGTCTACCATTTCACAAACCTATCAAAATTTGAAAAACTTAAGAAAGCTAACACCTTTTCGGATGCCCGCATAAGTACTTGTGAGGCCGTTCCTCTTCTTCCTGTGTCGGTACAGCCAGATGCTGAAGACCATGAGGATGATCCAGCAGGCGGCTCCAATCCCGGCGATGAAGGCCGGCTGCTTTACCACGTCTGAGATCTGCTGAGCCAGGCTGACTTGGTCTTCCGGAGACACAGGATTCCCATGAGAATCTGAAATACCATCCTTTGGTTAATCTGGGTTAAACAATCAACTTGATGAGATAGGCACACATATGTGGTATATTATGGTTATCTTCTTATTTGGTTAATTTTCAACCATGGTCTGTTTCACATTTGGGGGGGATTTTGTTTGCTTGCTTTCATTTTAGTTTATTGGAGTCAGGAACTCACTATGTAGTCCAGGGTGGCCTTGAACTCACTATGTAGTCCAGGCTGGCCTTGAACTCCTCACTATGTAGTCCAGGCTGGCCTGGAACTGGCAGCGATCCTCTTGCCTCAGCCTCCTGAGTGCTCTGACCGCAGCCACGTGCCGCTGCACTTAGTGAGTTTGCATTTATTTTTAACCCTCCCTTCTGAAGCAGTTCAAAAGCTTTTCAATTCTTTTAAAATTTATGAAATACTTGTTAATTTTAAGATAAATTGTTTATTTTGATTTAAAACAGGGCATAGTTTTTAAGATAATAAAGACAATGGCTTTATCTCTATTTCAGAAAACTCTGGAGGTTCTTGTTCAGATAAAATGTCTTACAACATTGCTGACAAATATAAAAGGCGGCACCTCAGAATGGAATATTTTAATGCTACTGTACAAATAAAAGGGGAGGGTTGAATGAATTGCTAGAAAAGATGTACAGTTTCTCCTACTCCTAAATTTTCTTCTTACTTTTTCTATCTATTCTATAGGAACTCTCAGGTAAAAGTATGTTTCCTCTGGAAGGCAGATACCTAGTCTATGTATGTGTGTGTTCTCTCCCCAAGATTATACGGTAAAATCCTTCACTGCCTTCAAAAAATACTTCATTTGCATTCATGCATTCAGAAGGTCTTATAAGCCTGAGGTTCACTAAAACACAATGAAAAATTAAGATAATTTTATCATTGAAAGAACTATGAATAATTTTGTTTTAAAATAATAATGATGTTGAGAGATAGATATAAGAGCATTAAATATGTAAAAGAATTATCAAGTATTATGAATAGTCCAAAAGAGTTCCATTTAATGTTAGACATTTTGATTCAAGAATTAAAAATTGATGGAATCTATGACTAATAAAATTTACTTATTTTATACTTATGTCTCATACCTACTAAGACATTTCTCAACCCGTCATCAGCTCAGCTCACAGAGAACAGTGGTGTCTTTGGAAAAAATGGGGAGCTTTGCTTCGTTATCAAAACAGCATCACATTTTGTTGGCGCTGTGTTTCCTCACAACCCCAGTTCTGCCCAATGGGCACAATTTCCAGGTGAAGTTTTCCTCTCCCTTCTCCACAACATCAAGTGAAACCTGAAGCTTTTTGTCCATTTTGCTAGTATTGTCCTTTTCTGGCAGTTGATAAATCATTTGACTCAGAAGATAGCCTGTATTGTACCGTCACACTCTTAAGCGGACACACCACCCCTTTTGGATCAAAGTCAGGCTTTCTAACATCAGAAGAAGGACGAAGGACTTTGGACTGCTTGCAGCACTCCACTCCCACCTGGTCTTCCGTGTGGTCACAGCAGAGACCTGCCTCATGCAGTGCCCTTCCTTGGGGCCACACAGACACAGCCTGTCTGACTGAACCCCTGCCCTGACATCCACTGCACAGGTGTACAGAAGTGACAATCTCTTAGCCACCGCAGGACACCATAGAAGTCATGCTTGCTTTTTCTAAGACCAGCCAGCACTCCTCCCAGGAAACCTCCTTGGGTGACAGCCCGAACACCATGAAAGGCCTCAGGCCACAAGTGCTGGAGCCCCTCCTGCAGCTTGAAGGCTTTGCCTCTGTGGCCTTCTGGCCAGCCCTTGCCGCAGTTCTCCTCTGTCATTTCACACGTTCCGTTACAGTGCCTCTTCTGTTTCTTATCTGATCAACAGGTCTGGCCTTGGCTCTCCTTCTAGGCCAGGCCTTTCCTACACAGAGGTCAGACAGAAGCTGCAGGGCGTCTGTCGGCCTGATAAGTTTTGTGCTCAAGGGAAGCCTGGTGACAGCGCTTGATATTCAGGCATGACACTGTCTGCTGGAGGAAGCGGCTTCCGGTAATGGAGTGTGCACAGCTCCACTGAACACTGGCGCCCTGTGGAGCAGGCCCAGAGTTTAGAACAACGTGGCAGACACAGACTGCAGACCAGAGAGAAGTATGATCCTTCTAATGCAGGCTGCTCTACAAGAAGAAATATTTTCCAGCCTAATAACAATTTTCGGGGGGGGGGGGGGAAGGCTGATACAACTCCTTCTTTATGAACAATTCTTTAAAAAACAATCCTCCACAGATTATTTTTCTTGTTAAATGATATTACATCTTAATAAGACATTTGACAGGAAAAATAAGCAGTCTCTGATGATGATAGAAAGAGCCTGTAGGAATACAGTACCCTTTTCTACACAAAATGCAATTCCTTCTTGCATTGTATGGATGGATGGGGGTGACATGTTTTTTCATTTTTTATTTTTTCCTTGAACAGAATTCCAGATCTTACTCTATCAGGGTCAAGGCTGAAAAACCTATTTTCACCAGGAGTCACCTGCCTCCAACTGTTGGTTGACTGAAAGTTTTATTTCGTGTTTCAGGTCCTTTTATCTCTGGTTATCCTAAGAGCACTTCATCCTCTGAAAGTTCACTGAGCAGATCTATTCTTTTTATTCCTAATACACCCTTTGTATCTGCTAGGTTTATAGATTTCATGGCTATTTGCACAAGGTTAAGTTGAGTAGCTTCAGATTTTATGGAAACAGCCAAGAGAGGTTCCATGCAAGCGGCCATATGGGCTTAGTGGAATGAAGTGCAGTGTAACTAATGAATTACAACAGCCCGCTGCATCACAGGCTTTGTCTCGCTGTAGCTGAGGCCGCATTTAGATATGGAGAACTGGAACATATTTATGATTTCAAGAAAACCAATGTGGCCCTTAAATCCCATGATTTAAATCGTAACTAACAAAGTCACAGATGGCCCTTTTCCAAGTTCATCTTGCAAAAAACAAGGACTAAAAGTCATACGTTACAAAAATAGGAGAGCAACATCAACAACAGGAAGTGTCGTCAGAATGTAGTTCACAGTCTCAATTTTAATCAAGCTATCCTGACATTTTATGCAGGGAGGAAATATCTGAGTGGCAATTATTTCTTCAACATAACTGCTTCTCCTATATCATATATAATACTGGAACTGATGCACTGAGCAATTTTTTTACCATTTCTTGCACTGTTTGAATTAAGCAAGGGAGCTATTTTGTTTTAAATGGAGTGCTGCAGAGACAGCTCAGTGGTCTAAGCGCCTGCCCCAGTAACACGTGCTATCCCTGCCCCACCCCAGGTACGCTGAGCTGGCCACCAAGCCCAGGCGTGGTGTTGTATGCCTGTAATCCCAGCACTGGGGAGGCTGAAAACAGGAGGATCGCTAGAAGTCTGAGCTGCATAGTGAGACCTTGTACCAAATACATTAAAAGATAAGTAAATAAATAAAATAAAATCATGTATAGAATCATTTTTCTGAAATGTGCAAAATGAAAAAGAGAAGTCCAAAATGGCCCGAGGCTGTGAGAGTCAGAGAGGTCTGTGTCCCAGGCTTGTCCAGGTATGTCATGAAGAAGCAGTCCCCCAGCCAGCGACTTTGTTTTGTGGTGTCCCTGTCCATCAACTTGTAGTCACAGAGGGCGCAGCTCCGCATCTGAGCCACTTAAGCTGTCTCATAGCACCAGGACTTCCTTTCCTCTCTCTACTGGCCCAGAGACAACTCAGGAAGCCAAGGTTACAGAACTGTCCACGTCGAACACAATTCCCCCCAGTACAGAACTTTCATTGAGTTCTAACACAAAAACTGCGCAAGTACACAAGGTCTCAGTGAAAAACAAACTATATAATTTTTTTCAAAAAGATTCAGTACAGTATATATTACTATTAGCCTCCCTTAAAATCCTCCCCTTCACGTCCAACACACTGATCCCATCATCCTTGCCACTTTCTGCAGTGAAAGTTCTGCAAGTCCCTCTTCATGAGTGCCCTTAGCAACGTTGCTGGTCCTGGCTTCCTCCAGCCCTAAACAGGCCCGTAATGCTTTCCTGTCATAGTCAGTTTGACTTTGGGGAAGAGTTTGGAGGGCTCATGGCCGCACACCCAGGGAGTGAACGGAACGAAGACATGCTGGAACACCTCTACGAGCTGCCTTTGCATTGGAAGGACGTGGCTGCAGCATGCACTGTATTTTTGATAACACCTCATAAAAATCAAGAAGACTTCCAAAAAGCTTTCAGAAAATGACAACTACAGTGTGATTCATAAGTTCAAAGCCAGGGTATGTATTCTAAGGAGATTTAATGTCTTTCATTGTAATTTTTCTTTAAAATTTAAATACATACCTTATCTTTTGGTTAGCCTTTGCATGTTAGGCAGATAGCATTGTCTTAACATGGGAACATTAACAGTATTTGTAAAATGAATGTTAAATTCTTTATATACTGTAACAGAATTAATCAAAGACGAACGTTCCTTAATTTTGAATTAATTTTAGGCAGTCATTTATTTTATTAGTACACAAAATTAGTATGTACTCTTCGTGAAGTATAAGGTGTTACATATCCTTGTTGGTGTATTATTGTCCAGCATCAGATATAAAACAGGCTGAATTCTGATCTGTGACACATACATGCAAAGGTGCCTGTGGAATTCTCTGTAGCTTTCATAATTTAAAGGTCACCTTTTAAAATCTGACCTTTTCTCCCCACCATTTACTAACACTAGTATTTTGTTGCTGCATTTGTCCATTTTAGATTTTACCAGCAATCACTCATTGATTTGTGTATCGTGTTCATACAGCACTGGTCATACCGAGCTGTCGTCATGAAGGCTGAGTCGGATTTTGAACAATTAATCTAATACTTTCAAAGTGCAAACTCTATTGAACTTTCTAAGTAATTACTATGTAAACATGTTCCAGTGCTTTGAGTTCTCCATTTATCTTTTGTTATTAAAAAAGGTTACAATTTTCAGTAGACATAAATGCAAACATAATTTTTGCATTGTTAGAAATTTCCAACACTTATTTAAGTTGTGAATAGAAGGTGTTTTTCTTTTTTTCCTCCTTTTTTATGTTTTAAAATTTTTTTTGGCACACTCAGCCCACCCTGAGGTTGGGGCTGGTGCAGCACATGGTGCCAGGGATCCTACACTTCAGACTGCTGAGCTATCTTGCCAGTAACCCCCCCCCTTTTTTTTTCTTTTTTAAAACTAAAAGTGAGTCCCATAAGGTTACACGCTATATGTTTCTTGTTTGCTGGTCTTTCTTGATGGCCATTGAATACTATTTGTTGAAGAATTGAGAAAAAAATCCATAGGATAGACTCAGGATACTATGAAACAATAAAATGAAATATTACTTAACAAGTGTGCTTGCATAAGCGTACACTGAGTTGTGTAGTTGTGCACTATACAGCAGTGCTCTGGTCAGCAGTGGCTGTGGGTGGCTGTTGTGCCATAAGTCCTATGGGTCAACGATGTCACAGACGTCTTAATTTGTGGAAGTCACTCGACAATGTTCATGCAAGCATAAATCACTGTAACGCGTTTCTCAGGATGTGTCCCCACACGTAGGCAATCTGTGACTGTGTTTACCCCTATATCCATCTGTGTTTTAAGCAGGTCATGCCATTGGTGGGATAAGGCACATCACATTATTTTATTGGGTTTGCAAAGGTGGCTAAGCCGCCTTTAAGCTTATCTATGTTCAGTATCAAATAAAATAACCTAAATACAGCAAAGAAAAAAGAGTGGCTTAATCACACGCAAAGCGGCAAAGGAACAGTGGTGCAGCAACAGCCTGCCACTCGGGAGCTGCACGATGCTCACCTAACTGGATAAACTGAGGCTCACTCTTCACCCCCGCGCCGGCCCCGGTGCTGGCTGCCACCTCCACGCTGTACCGGATTCCAGGAACCAGAGAGGGGATGACTACAGAGAAGGTGGAGCCGTCTACACTCTTGTTGATATGGTACCGAGTCTCGTTGCCCAGACACCAAACCTGTAAGGAGAACATGACAAGATCCATGTTGTGAAATAATCTGCGTTGATGGCAAAATCAGCATGGGATGCACGCAGCTCAGCTCTAGACAGAGTTCAGGTCTGTAATGAACCCCACAACAAGTAACTCTTCCCCAGCACCGAGCCCTGAGAAGATGCTCTCAGCCCAAGCCGGTATCAGGGTAACTGCCAGAACTCCTTGGCTTGTTAGGAACCTGTAAGGAACTAGGTAAGGGGCGTCTACAGATTTTTTGCTTGAGGACTCTTTTCAGTACACACCATTAAGTCCTAGGTCAGCATACATCATTAGTTTTTCTTTTCCATCTTTTTAATATCAATAAATTCTTTGCTAAACATAAAAGTAACTTGAAGGAACCTGTGCATATCCAGATAAACAACAATCACCTATGTATCCTCATTCTGAGTCTGCCTTGTAGGTATAATGCAAAGTTTTCAGATATCATAAAACAAAAGACAGTAAGGAGCACTTAGTCTAATACTTCACTGTTTTGTGGGACACTGTCACTGTCATCTCATTTACATAAAATCCAAGAAGTAGTTGATTTACTGTATTGGACACAGGCAGTTCAGAATTATAGTGATCCTCCTGTTTCAGCCTCCTCCGTTTTGGGCTGGCATGGCATGCGATACCAGGGATCAAACTTGGGTCCTTACGCTTGCCAGGCAGGTACTTAGACTGCTGAGCTATCTCCCTAGCTAAAAGCAACTGCTTAAAAAGGGGAGAGAAAGCTTCAAAATAATATAAAATACTTTGTGTACATATGATTGTTAGAAATAAAACTTTATTCAATAAGTAAGGGCCTAGAACTGCATTCAGCTTTATGGAATGCTATTCTAGTATCAATGAGAAAAAACTGGCAACCTGATCTTATATCTGCATGAAAATAGGAATCAATCTTTCATAACACATATGAGGCCATAAGGAATAACTACAGTTAATAAGAAAGAAAACATTCATGTGATTATAAAGTGATTGTACACTTTGTTAACTTTGACAGAAATATTCGTGGTAGAAAATAATTTTCAAGAAATTAAACAAACATAGAGTGTGCTGTCGCCCTTGTAGTAAACTGTATTATCTTGTAGCCTCTCAGCAGCAAGGCTGCACGGCGGCTTGCTCTCCACTGTGGCTGTTCCGGACTCCCTGTGCCATCTGGCTGTTCCGGCTGTGAACTGGGAATGTTGTTGTGCCCCACTGTTGTACTCAGGCTAAGACACCAGCGTGGCCCGGTCACTCGCGTAGCAGTTATCAGCTCCAACTTGTTCATATTTCGGATGTACTTTATTGATGCTTAATATGGTAGAAAAGAACGATCCATGTTTCCCAGGCAAATAAAAATATTTTGAAAAATGCAAAAAGGAAACAAATCATACTGTGACTTTTTGCAATATTTAAGAACTTGGACAGGACCTGGCAAAATTTGGACTGAGTTTCCATAAGTGAACGATCCATAGAATAATGAAGCATAATCTCTATTCGTTCTGATGTCTTTGAGCAATATCTAAAATTAACTTGGAGTAGACTATTGTCTAAGCTGCAATAGAAAAATGGGATTCCAAGTTAATCTGAAAATATCACTGTCCTCTATCACTTGGTCAATAACCTTTCAATTTTTTTCTTTGAAAGCTAATATTATTTTAATATCGTTTCAGTGGATAGCACCAGCAAATGGTCAGACCCTAGACCAGGATCTGACCACTTAGAAACGAAGACTCCTTTGTGGCTGTTCCCCCCAATCACATTACATAGCTGAACTGAAGCCACAAACTGATTTTGTACCAGTCAATCAGGTTCTGAAAGGCATTTTATTATTTTAAATTGGCCATGAAGTTAAGTGAAATACACCCTTTCACTTTTCTTGAAGAGCGAAATGAGTTTGATTCTTCGGGGAAAATGCCACGTTACACAATTTTGCTGGGAGCTGAGAATCACCTCACTTTGAATCCTTGAAAGTCTTCTCTAACCTGCTATTTTTTTCAGACTAGAGCAGAAACAGTATCCTGTCACACCCCAGTGTTGAAATAATCTTGAAACTCATGAGAAAGCACTTCAAGGTACAGACAGTTTTACTTTTTAATAGCTCAGTTATGCTACAAAATCTTATTTGAAATATTGCAAAACATCTACAGTGTGCTTATGGCCATATTTTAAGTACTTTTAAAAAGCGCATCCCCATGAATATGCACAAATTTTAGAGGTTGATTTTCAAATCAAAACTTATTGTATTTAGTCATTGCTAAATAGTAGCAAAATTAATTTGCTACTCCAAAAGTTTGTGGTTTTTATTTGGAACTTAAGTAAGGATGTACAGATGAATCACCAGGCAGGTTTCCCAAAAAGCTGTGCAGGGCCTCTGACAGGCCACTCGCGTCAGCCTCTGAGGGTGGAGGCCCTGGGAACCTGATTCAGTGAGCACTTCTGGGGTGGGCCTGGCACTGAGCAGCACTCATTGGAGATCTGCACTGGAGAGGGCCCATGTGTGGGCCTGCTAAACCACCAGCTTGCTTGTTCTCTCTCTGTCTCTCTCTGTCTCTCTCTCTCTCTGTCTCCCTGTGTAGTACAGGCTGCCCTTGAACTTATGACAATCCTCCTGCCCTGGCCTCCTAAATGCTGGGATTACGGGTGTGGGACACCACACCCGGCTTTACCCAGAACCTCCTATTGACACATACACATTAAAGTGTATCCACTCCCCATCGCAGCTCTGAGTCAGTGGTTTCACATTACAGTGCCTTCCAAATCTGTTTCATACCCCAACCACAACTTGAAATATTTACATGTAGCAGATAATGGCTTGAATTACATAATTCAGCTGGTAGCTAGAAGAATGAGCACCTTGTGCGCTATATATATTTGCAGTTAAAATTCTTCTAAGCCTACAGTATGTTTATAAAAGTGTTGAAAAATACACATAAAATCTATTTGGCTTTGAATTTTTCCTTATCTACTGTATTAATTATTCATCTATAATTCATTATTAATGTGATCTTATGAGACAGATTCATCAACAGGGCAAATTCAAGTACACTGTCTTTAACTATACTTTCTGTCTCTTTAAGTTTTGATACGTCTCAGAATATTTTCAAGCATTTCCTTAATATGTATGCATGTTAAGACTGTATTCATCGAAAATAGCTGATTATTTAATAGGTAAAAATAATTAGAGATTTTAGATTAAAATCCTTGATATGACTGTTTTTAAAATATACACATAATTTATAGAAACATACGTAATTTTTCTCTGAGACATGAAATTCTCCTTAGAGACTAAAACCAAGTTTATAG